AAATACATACATCTATCTAACACACTTTAACTGTATGGCACATTAACTTGTATCAAATAGACTTTTTCAAAAGTCATTTAAGTGTAAATACCAATTCTGCAAATTATTACCTCTTTATTAGATGCTGAAAAAATGAAACAAACAAACAAACAAACAAAGCCAATAAATACCTGTACTGCTACCCAGCTGGCGTTGACAGTGTGCTCTCCAAATGGCCCGAAACCTGCAAAAGATGTCAGCTGCTGAATTAATGTGGATTATGTTTGTGGTGTCTGCAAAAACAGACTTTTTTATAAGATTTATTTATTTGTTTAAATACTTCTACTGATATGACCTTAAAGGTAGTTTCTAATGGAAAAAGGGGGCCGTTAAAGATTTGGGTTGACTGAGATGCTGATTTGCAATATAAAGGTATACATTTCGTCTTTTATGTCAAATGCAATATCCTTTTCAGTAGCATGACTGAGATGTAATTACCTGTTGTTTGAAATTATAAACTGTTGTTTTGAAGAATGAACCTCATTATTAATCAAAATAAAGACCCGCTGATGCACAACTGCAAATGAAAAACGGTAAAATCTCAGCAGCCCATGGAAATTCACTCGGGGCTGTTTATATAAGGCTCTACCACGGATTCCCCCGCCCCACTGTCTATCCTAGGGTCACTGGGTCCCTGGGGGTTGGGTGGAGAGGGGATCAGTCAGTCTGACAGGCTGATGAAAAGGAGCAGAGTGAGGGGCCGGCAGCTGCCAGCCAGCCTGCTATTGTGAAGGTGCTGTTCCCAGGCAATCTACACTTCTCCTATCAGCTGGGGAGACACGTTTCTGCACCCCTTTGTGTCTGTAAACAGCAAATTAATGTGTCTGTTCTGCCAAACGTCACCATTTAACACTGCTGTTTGCACTAACGAAAATATGTTCATGTAGCTGGACTTGAAATTGCATCGGAGTGTGATTTAGATAAACAAATATGTGCATACACAGTACTTATTATATTAACAAGTATTATAAATTGGTGATTATTACATAGGGATGTAACTTTGAATCGCAAGTGATGCAAAATAAGTTTTCTGAAATACAACACAGAGACTGGTTGATGAACAGCAGCTCTAAGTCTACACTAGATTACCATAATGCAAAAATAATGAGACTAAACAGGATGAACTAGCATAAAGAAACTGATTCAATAACTTATCAATAGTGGAACCTAGTCACCATCTGGGAATAGGATATGTATTTTTAGCCACAGATCTATAAAGGCATCACACACAACAACTGGACAGAGGAAGATACGAATAATTCAAAGCAATAAAGAATAAAAAACAATAATTTAGGCTAAAGGGTTCATTATTAAAATCTCTCTGTATTGTGTTTTCACCTTTATCTTTTGTTCATCTGTCTATATTTTGTAGATAACTGACATAACTCCTATGATATCAGTTTTTTTAAACTGAAATAATTTCAATAATGTCCCAAGTCACAACTAACAACATCTAATATTTATGAAAATATATGCATTATTACCTTTGCTGCCATATGGTATTGTGCTCAGTATTAGTGACTAATACTTCAGATGAACACGAGCTATTTGAAAGCATTTAGAAACAAATATGATACCGTATCCATAGAGCAAAACAAATGTGTAGACAACACAAAAGGCGCTTGTTTTTGGAGGAGTAATTTGTTTACTGTCTGCGGCCTTTCAGCTGAAGTCATCTAAAACAATGGTGAGACCACCGAACCGGCCTGTAGCGTCAATAATGCATCCCCCCAAAACTCTAAAGGGTCAAAACTCCCACAAAACTACTCGTTCCTTTCTGTACAGTTGCAACAGAGTGGAGCAGGAACGACCTGACGCCATTAATGGAGCAGCTTTAGTCTCCTCAACTTTTCCTCAACAGACAAAAGAGACAACGACAGCGGATAAAAGAGCCCAAACCTGTAACGACCACAGCCCGTTTACTGTTATCCATCTCCCGTCCCGTTCACGAGGAACCGTTGCCTCTTTTTCTCGGTCTTTACTTTGAACAGGGTTAGAACGAGAGTCTACCCCGCAGAGCTGACGGCTCCTTCTCCCACACACAGACCAAACCGGAGGTACTCCCTCCTTCCGCAGGCAGCCTAAGACGTGACGTGATTACGTCAGCAAACCCCCCGAAAAGCTACAAAAATGTATACAAAGGCAGTATAAATTTTTGAAAGATTTTTTTTAAATTGCTCATTTATTTATTTGTTTCATTAAAAAATATAAATCCATTCATTGCCTGCGCTGAAGATGTAACTTCAAAAATGAATATTATTTTCATTTTCTATTAAACTATTTACATTACTGTGCAAAGGTCTTGAGCTACCCGTTTTTCTTTATATTTTGCAAGTAAAATGGGAAATAGGTGCAGATATATATCGAAGCATGTGCAAACATACATGAAAATACAGAATATAAAGCAAAAAACAGAGTCTATACAATTCTAACCAGCATGAAAGTCAATATTTACCTTTACAACTTGAACTCTATTAAGCTTTCTCGTGACCTTTTTTAATATGGCTGTTTTATACTTAAATGATATAGGTCAGTGTAAGTGGTATAAGAAAGAAAAAAAAAACAAAAAGCATTTCTCTGAAAATGGTCAACTATTAGGATGGACTGTAAATGAGTTAAAAAGCAATGAATTTCTAAGGAAAAACTTTGAAAGACCTTCAGAAAGCCTGGAGAGCTGTTGCTAATAACTGCTTTAAAATAAGAAGAAAGTGGTTATGGTTGTATTCTACATTATAATGATGAACAATGTGTTGAACTCGGTGTGTTTTTGGCTGTTGACCTGCTTTTGGATTTCATGTAAATCCTGTGTCTCATATCTGAAAATCTTTCAGTTATTTGGATCATTCTCCTCCATTTCCCAGTGTATTTGTTGACTTTAACGATCAATAGTTTCAAACAATTGGTAAGGGACTAAAAATGTAAGAGGAAAGAAGAATAAAATTCTTTAAATAACTAATCTAACTGTTTGCTCACCACCAGAACGCCATACAGTCTCCGGTTACCAGTTTTAAAATATGGGAGAAAACATGGTTCAGATAAAGGGGATTCTCTGTTAAATTAAACACCCACTGGTAAACTATCTTTATAAATAAAACAAATTAAGTATACCTTAAGTATATCTTGGGAATAGGTGAGATGCAGCTAAAATTAAAAAAATGCAATTTTAATATTCGATCTGATTATTTTGATGATATTTTTTACTTTACTTATTCTTATTCATATCCCTTTAAAGTGGCAAACACGAAAAGAGATGCACATTTTAATCTTCGCACCTTTCATTTGTGCTCATTTGATATTGGAAATGCGTGTTTCTGACAGTAGGGGGCAGCATCATATAATACAGCCATGAATGCGCCTCGCCACACCGGAAGACAAAGAGTAAAAGTAGGTGGGAAAATCGTGTTAGCAAGTAAGACACTAAAAGAAAAAAAAGAAACAATCAAGAAACCATCAAAATGGTGAGTTGTTAAAACTTTTATTCTCTTCAGTGGCGCTGAGTGCTAGATTTTCAGCTAGCATTCTCAGTGCTAGCAGCATCGCCTTGCCTCTCCATACTCGGTCCGTTAGCTATGGGAAGTTAGCTTAGTAGCTAAATTAAGCATCGTTTACGTAAACTAGTCGTTTTTAATAAGCATATAAATGCAGACTTAACACACAGCTTTGGAAAGCTTTTAGGTCGTGCTCCACGTGCTGAGGCGGGGATTTATTATCTCGTTTAGCTCCATACTCTTGCAGCTGTAAGGTTACTGACAGTTCAGTGGAGTCGGTGAGTAAACGACGTAGACATGAAGGCACTCTTAAAAAACCTGAACATAAAAGCACCTTCATATCTTTACGCCAAACACTGCGGCTATGGAGACGTTTTCTCTGGAATAAAACACTCCTGGTTGTTTTATGCACTCTCGCTTCAGTGCTCACTTCGGCAAATGCTGTTGATTACACATCTTTTGCCATGTTTGACCTGCTTCTCTGTTGTTTTGCAGCTTCCCCTGTCTCTGCTGAAGACTGCCCAGAACCACCCTATGGTGAGACTAACGTGGACCGTGTATACAATTTTATATAACAGGCTGTAAAATAATAATAGTCATGAGGAGAGAAAGTGACATCTCAAGATTTCTTACATGTAGAAAGCAGTGAATTGTAAATGTGTGAGCAGAAAATGATTCAGGCTTCTTTTGAAATTTATACTGTATATATAATTGTGGCTTCAGCTCTGACTGTCTTATTTTATTTTGCTAAACTATCGCCCGTCCTAATTTCTTTTTAGAACTTTAATTGGCACAAGTTCAGTTTATTTTTTGTAGTGAGTATTGAAACTTTTAATACAGCTGTGAATTCTGAAAACATTGTAAGACAAGCTTTCCCCCCTCGTCTTTTCTCTCTGTAGTTGGTGGAGCTGAAGAATGGAGAGACGTACAACGGTCACCTGGTCAGTTGTGATAACTGGATGAACATCAACCTGAGAGAAGTCATCTGCACATCCAGGGTAACACTGACCTTGCTCTTACATTAAAGCTCTAGATTAATGACTGATGGTTAAAAAAGACAGTTTTCAGTGATTACTTGAAGCTTTCATTGTTGTGTGCAGAGTTATCATTTTATATAAAGGCTGAGTAAGTTATTCACACTTTTTGGTGGATACACCTGCTGGCTGTCTGTGCTCTGGTGTTTGTGCACAGCCCTGCTTTTCTCTAACTGTTCCAAAAACACTGATTTGGACTGAGCCACACATTAGTCTAGATAAATAGGTACAGGGAATTTTGAATGGAATGACAGTGAACTTTTGGATTTTTTTCCCCCTTTTGCTGTAAATACACTACTAAAGTATTGTTTCAGTACAGATATTTCTATATATGTAGCTGTTCGGTCTTATGAGAGAGTGCTTTTTTTTTTTTTAATCTGAGTTAATTGTTAAGCCAATTTGATGAACCAACAGCCCCACTCCACCTCTCACAGGATGGAGATAAGTTCTGGAGAATGCCTGAGTGCTACATCCGAGGAAGCACCATCAAATATCTACGAATCCCAGATGAAATCATCGATATGGTGAAGGAGGAGGTGGTGTCGAAGGGGCGTGGACGTGGAGGCGCCCAGCAGAACAAACAGCAGGGCAAAGGAAGAGGAGCAGGTGGCCGAGGTGAGAGGAAACAGCTTTTGTTGTACGTGCTGGATGTCTTAATAAACATGGGAGAGTACCGAGTATTGTTTCCACATTTCTGTCAGTTCTTTCCAGAGTGTTCATAAGTTAACAAATTTACACCTGATAAGTGTAAAAATAAATTATCTAAGTTCAACTTTAATTTCACTGAGGTTAAAAAATGATCGAATCCCTAACCAATCTAGGAACCCATGACTATTATCGTAATCATAGCTGAAATTTCTGACAGCTTCTACCACATACATTTATGCAGGATTTGACCAACAGGAGCCTCATAACTTTTTCTTATAAGTGTTTCATTTAAAGTCTTTTCATATCTACTACCTTCCTTTTTTGGTTCACATGAGAGGATTTGGGCTGCTTCACATCAAAACCTGATATGATTTGTAAAAGATATCAAACAGATCTTTCCAGTTGGGCAGCACGGTGGTGTGGTAGTTAAAAATGTGGCCTCTCAGAATAAAGGTCCTGGGTTTGATTGCATTGTGGTTTCTGTAGGCCTCTAAATCTGCTCGCAAAGTTGGACATCCACAAATATTTTGGGGATTTGAAGGATCTATGTTAACTTAAGATACACTCTTGAAAGTCCGTACTGCTAGAGAAGTAGTACCAGATATTTCCCTATTTCCCTAGACCTAGCTAATGTACCTTTCTTAGAAAATGGAAGTTTTGATTCCCAAGTGCATCTTTCACCCCCGATTTTCTTTTTCCTCTGACAAACCCATGATAGTCAGGTGTGAGGCATTTCCAGTTATTAAACATATATTGGTCTTTACTTGGTGTTGGTGGCAGGTTCTTTATAACTTTAAATTTTTTCTGTTTTCAATGTCAGATACCAATTCTCCTTAACTGCGTTATTAATTCTATTTATTTTTTTTCTGTGAATTTTAAATATTAAGATTTGGTCATGTTTACAGGGGATTGGGAATACTTTCTGTTACCTGCTCTAACACAGACTTTCTCTTGTATCTTCTCTGTAGGTCTGTTTGGCAGCCGTGGCCGAGGGATGACTGGCCCCGGTCGGGGTCAGCAGCAGCAGCAGCAGCAGTCGGATAAGAAACCAGGAAAACCACAGGGAATGAAGAACCAGCACTGAAGGACGACGCTGCACCTCTGATAACATCCTGTTAATCAGTGATTCTTCCTTCTGCACATGAAGAAAAAAAGTCTCTGTGGTGTGTTTTTTCTGCTGTGATCTTTGTTAGGACTGATTGTCGCAGAAATCTCACTGTGAGACGTTAAGAGAAGCCGTGCTTTTGCACTGAATTTTGTTTTTTAACATCTGGAAGTTGATATTAACATTTTTTTATGAAGATGCCAGTGTATCGGCCAGAGCTGGCAGACTCCTCCTTTAGCATCAGTTTGTATATCGTTATAACAAGAACATTTTGTATCATAAACCACATTATCTAAATTCCACTTTGCATCTGTTGGTACACTGGGAAAACATTTTTACTTTTCGTTTTTGACGGTTGTCTCCTCAGGTGTAGTTTTCATGGTGTAGTGGCTCATCTTCTGTTGCAAGAATACTTTGTTTTCCTTGTTGTTTGTGAAGTTTGTGGTTTGAGACCTTTCTTCTTTTTTTTGTCTGCTTGCTCTGCTGTGGGGTCAGTCACAGCAGGTAAACAGCAGACTGATAACCAGGAGACACAAATTCAGTCCCTGTAAATTAACACTTCTGTTAAAGCGTTTGTAAGACAACCAGTTAGGATCTCCAGACAAAAAGATTCTCATATTCTTAAGTCTGAAATGGATAGAGTCCAACATGTGACGTGTTGGTTGGGTTTCATTTTATTTTTGTAACAAAAGACGATATTGTAATTTATTTACAGGAGAACATGAGAATAAAACAGCTTTTGTTAAAGGAGTTGTAATTATTAAGTCCTCATGT